GATAGTAGTTACGCCTACAGTAAGGCACACACACACACACACACACACACAAACACACGCACACATGTGCCAAGCCGCGCATCCTTGCGGGAGAATTTCCTTTTTGCTCGCCACTGTGCCTGTGTGTGTCTGTGTGAATGTAAATGTTAAGCGGATAAAAGACGCGTTATAAAGCAAAAGCCAATGACTGTTGTGGAATTCCGGTTTGCCGTTGGTGCCGTTGGCAGCAAGCAACTCCCTTTTCGTCGCTTAATCCGGCATAATAATGACAAAATTAATTTCAATTCAGTCAACGTTTACGCCGGAAATGAGGAAAACTTTCGGTTTCGAAAATTTATTTGCATTTTAGTATTGTTGCGATGGCTTTTCATGGCAGTTGTTTTCCACGTAATTAAAAGCCAGGCGGCGGGTAATTGAATTTGTTACTTGTGCTACGATTCGGCGGAAATCAAAAAGTTGAGCCGGTTAAAAGCATGCAGGCATGAGTTACGAGTACATACATATGTACTAAAATCACTTATGGAAATTACCTGAAAATGTGAAGTTTATTTTACCCAAATAAAGGTATACGAAAAGAATGGCGCAATGGGAAATAAAACGTATTTATTTGAATTTAAAATTTTAAAGAACTGGCAACCCTATTCAAAAACCTAAAAAAATACAATATAATAAGCGATCCGTCTGCCAAATTTCATCTAAATCCCCCCTGCCGCTCCTCAGTGCACAAAAGTCTCGCATGGTTCGGTTTCTCTAGTTTCAAATCACCCTCTACCGACAAAAAGAGTTTTAACTTCAAAAAAAGAAAACGTTATTTCAGATCTGCGGGTTAAGCTCTTTAATTTAACATTAATTTTAGGATATTTTAACGATCTGTTCACAAAAAATGCCTTCGCGTATTATATATACACACAGTTACATAGATAGGAATTTTCGAATAGGTGGCAACCCTAATCAACTGCATTTGCAAACTAAAGCTTTCATAATACTCTTTCACTGGATACTCATATTTAAATATATCATGTGCATATCACATATAAAAGTTAATTAAACTCGACTTTTCAAACAGGTGGCAACCCTTTTCAAAAGTATTTCTAAGCCTAAATCTTCATAAAACTCTTACGTTTGACATTTTTATATTCAAATTAAATTTATTGATGAACTAAGTTGAATTTAATTTTTCAAATACGTGGCAACCTTTCTGAATACAGTTCAGAAATAAATCGTTTCCAAACCCATTTCTATTGATACCCATCTTATAATAATAATTAATTTTACTTAATAAATATTTGGAATTTAACTTTTTAATCTTCATATAAAACTTTATGAGTAGCGTTAATTTCTTCATGATCCAACCCCAATTAGAATTGGACTATAGAAATCGGTTGACGTGGTCCAAAGTTATGCGGTAACATACCAAAAGAAAAAAAAAACATTCCGACGAATTGATAACTTCCTCCTTTTTTTTAGGGCGGTTAAAAAGAGAAAAATTAATGAGCTAAATTGTTATACATTTTTCATTTAGTATATTTTAACATTTCTAATAAAATTAACATTACAAAAAATCTCTTTTCTCTCTGTTGCCGGCTCGGTCACGGTTGCCACTTTGGTAAAATCTTAAAAAAATTGGCGACTTTTATTCTTTTTGGTAACTCCGGATTTCATATGGCAACTTTGAGACTAAGTGTCTAAAAACCTTAAAATATTTATTTTACAATATCTGCTGCAAAGTTACTAAGACGTAGCAAAGTTCTTACGGAATGAATTTCTTTTGGATGATACATACAAAATTGTGAGTTCACTGGAGTGAGCGGCAGTAATTGGCGACGAAGGCTTTCTTCCACTACAAATTTGCCAACGAGTTTTTAAGCTTCTCTACTTCTCTGCTGCAGTGGACGTCGCAAGTATTTATTGCCTTCTTATCTTGCCCCTTCCATTGCATCTCTTCGGTGGCTGTGAGGTTTGCATTTGTTCTAGTTGGGATATTAACCGGCCGGTCCGAGGCACCTTCTCGGAGAGGGAATTTAAGTGGCTCGTCTCAAACCTTGCGTACAGTCAAATTCTGTGGCTTGGAAATGGTAAGGGTACATTAACAATGCGAGCCGTTTGTTCCCAGACAGGCACTTACTTGCAGCCGCATCTGAAGGTAAGCAGACGCTTCAGTCTTTGGTGGGCCCTTAAATGTTCGGTCAGAGTAGCTCTACTCGAATTAGTGGCCGTATGTCGCACATGGGCTTCTCACGTTGCCCAGGTTGCACAAAAGCGGTTGTAGGAGTACGAATTGAGTATAGTTGGGTAACTGTAAGTGAATATCCAGATGCTCCACTATACTCTATTGTTAAATTTAAGTGCTTAAACTAGTAAAAAAGTAACCAGATCAAAGATGGGCTCACCCACCCCTTGCCTGCAGCTATAGCTAAATAAAGACACACAATTATAAGATTTTTCTTTGATACAGCACAATACATACCTAAACGACCACCCAAGTAAGCTGGGTTTTTAAGTATATAATTATAAACATATCGAGCCCTAACCGCCAAATTAACGTAAGCGATATTTTTTTCAAAATTTTATTTTTGATGCAGAAATGCATCTAGATTCTCTAGGAATATTTCTGCATCAAAAAGAAGATTTTGAAAAAAATATCTCTTACGTTATTTTGGCGGTTAGGGCTCGATATTTTGGTCAGATTTATATATTGAATTCTTCATATGTGTATAATTTCTTTGTTGTTGTTGTTTTTTTTCTTTTTAGATATAATCATCGCATACAAGTACTCGATCCACAAGGACGCTTTTTGCGCGCATTTGGCTCACAGGGCACCACCGATGGCAAATTCAATTATCCCTGGGGCATAGCAACCGATTCATTGGGTTTCATTTATGTTTGTGACAAAGAAAACCATCGTGTGCAGGTGAGTAAATAGGCTTATTGCTTGCGTACATATTTGTACAAGCTTAAGTAAATATTTAAGTAAACACTTAATGCCAACATACGAGTATACACCTATGCATACAAATGAAAAATTTGAGATTTAAACGAATTTGCATATAAAATACTCTTACAAACGCTTTTACGTTTATGTGGGTTAACACAGTTTATCTGAAATAATAGTAATTGAAAAAAAAAAAAAATTACATTTTATTAAATTTCGAGCGAAATCCGAAGATTTAAAATTAATTTCAAATTCTATGCTTTCACACTCTTACTCATACAATTTCCAATTGTATTGTGTATATGTAAATATTTGCAATTAATCACTGCAACTGTCTTCTTGTTACACATCATTGCAGCCTGCCTTTTTCGTTTGATTGGTAGGATTGTCGTTTGGTTTCTTACTTGACAGTCCATTTGGCTATGCCAATTCAATCGCTGCCAATCAATCCTTTCAGTAGGCAATCGAATAAAGTAAAAGATGGGCTGCTACGGTTATCAATGGCTAGAGCAGCAATGAAAAGTAGGGATTACAAAAGGAAGCAATGAGTAAAATATCTGTGGTTTTTCTCTTATTTTTCATTTCTTTGCAAATTTTTGCAAAGTGATATAAATACATACGTATTTATATACATTAGGGTGGGTCAATATTTTTTTACTAAAATCAATTTTGCGTTTGCCAAATCGCGAAAATAGGTTTGGAAGGAAATGTAAAAATTTCAATGTTGCGCCCTCTGGTGGAAGTTTTATGAAAAAGATAAGTGCAGAAATGGATTCCCCATAACGGAGAACTCTATGAAGCATGTTTTTACACAAATTGAGGCACTTATTCATGGCACTACTGCAAAATGCTAAGAAATCTATTTTCGAAATTTGGCAAACTCCAAATTGATTTTAGACCCATGGTTTCTTCGGCAAATTTGCTTAGAATTACATGTAGAATTTTTCTGTGCTCTACGCGCATATTCGAAAAAATCTCCCATACTAATTGACCCGCCCTAATGTACATACAATTGTGGTAGCACAAATGCATACACACATACGTGTACTTTTGTTAATCTTTCACTCCCTTCTCAACATTTAAAATCTCCTGGATTTTACATTAATTTCGCATCCCTAAGCGGTACGAAAGTGTTACATAACTACCGAAGTGTATTTTCCAGTTGGAAAACAGCTCTTATTTCCTACTGTTTGTTGAAGGCATTGATTGCTGCACTGCGTTTCATGGCTTTTTCGTACTAAATATTATAGTGAATTTGCAGTCTCTTACCTCAAATACTGCTGGGTAGTGCGTACATACATATATACATACATACATACATCTACATACTAATGCTTTTTTCTACTATACGACGTGGCGTATACGTAACCGACATCATACAGCCATTGCATTCTCTCTAAACAACTTTCTTCTTACAGGTGTTTCAATCTGACGGCACCTTCGTTGGTAAATTTGGAAAACTCGGTCCCTTGGAAGGAGAACTAGAACATCCACACTACATCGCTGTTTCGAATACGAATCGTGTTATTGTATCCGATTCCAATAATCATCGAATTCAGGTGAGGAAATATTTAATTCAAGTATTAAGAGAAACTTAACATTTACAAAAAAAACATATCGCTAGCTAAGAGTGAAAAGTGTTTTGAAAAAATTTGAAATTTTTTTAGTGTAAAATGTCCCTAATCTTGTTTGTAGGTTTGTGCCATTGGAAATGTATTTTTCTAATTACCTCTCTCCTTTAAGAAGTGCCACCAGTAATTAACAGCAAGCGCGTTCAAGTAATTCTGCTCTTCATCATACCATTTTGTTTTTGGACAGCCTTGGAGGAAAGATATTTTCACCGGAGTAACAGCACTCCTAAATACTTAGGAATTCACCAAGTTTTATTTTTATGTATTTGGATAAATAATTGTTCTTTTGAATCAAAGCTATAGCTAAAAAAGCTTCTCATTTCTGTTCGACATCATTTCCGTAGCAATAATGAGACTTAAGAACAACAAAACCTCTCGAAGGAATATCGACTAAGCTCTTCAAAGCCGGCGGCAAAGAGCTCATAGGGCACATAATTTGATGAATACATGCCGCGAAATCAGAATTTCAGTTTACGTTGCTAAATTCGAAAGAAGGCAGATCCTGCTGTTAGAGACAATTACAGTGGGATAAGACTTCCCAACATTAATTATATGACGCTATCAACGATATTGTACGAAAGACTTAGTTTCGTAGTAAACCAACTAATTGCATCTTATCGATTGGATCTTTTGGGCAAAAGTGGTTCAACGGAGTACCTTCTGGCAATACACAAAGGGTTTCCCTCATATTGTGCCACGTATAACAGTTAACTAATGGCGATTTCGTTTCTACAAAGAATGTTGCCTTATCATCGCAAAATGTGGAGCCCAACGCGTCCTGTATCCGTAGTAGTACACGGAACATGGGAGGACGCTCAAAAGAGCCAGATATAATCCAATAGATGTTTTTCTGAACAGCCTAAGGTAGGAGTGACTTCTTAAGGATTAGTTGAATAGATATAGCTCCTAGAAAGTATGTTAGTATGCCCTAATAACAACAATAATGAAATGTACAGGTTTAAGTTAATAAAGTGGTAGCCGGGTTTTAAATAAAACACCTTCTCCTTTCGCTGCTCAAATTGGAATGTCCTCTTTTATTCTTTTCTTTTCACAAGATGGTGTCTTATAACTATATCTTAAGGTCTAGTTACACTATTCGTGTACTAAAAATATGCTAAAGGGACTATTACACTATTACAATGATTTACATGATTTATTAATCTATTACTTAAGCTAGCCTATACAACGCTACTACAATATTTACAATGTTTTTGAAGCTAAAATTTTTTGTTATTTTTTTTTTTAATACGGTTTATGTTTTAACCAAAATCATATAAATCAAACGTTCAAAGTTTACACAGAATTTAGAGAAATTCAACAAATATATATTAGGTATGATCAAAATTTTAAGTTTTGTATCAGATTTTTTTTAATTTTGGGTAGGCTTCTGAAATTTTAGTAAAATAAGTGCAAGTTTTGAGCGGCTAAAAAATTGCAAAATTTTTAATATTTTTT